GCTCTATGAGGATAGGAATTTTATCTTGGGTACTCTATGGTCCCCCTGTCTGTCTGGCCCATAGAGGCACCCAGAAGACATCTGTTGTTGAATGAATGAACAGTCTCTCGTGGTCTAGCCTCATCTGGTCCTATGGCTTCCAGTAAGATCTCTAAATTGGGCCCATTGGAAAGATCTGTCCCTGTGCATCTGTTCCAATTGACCACACAACATGACCAACTGAAATTCAACATTTTCCAAACTGATGTTATTTTTCTCCTCAAATTTGTCTCCAGCCTTTCTCCTCTATTCCATAATTTAGTAATGGCACAAAAATATAACCAGTCTTTTAAGGGGCTGGGATGATGGTTAATTTTATGTGTCAACTTGGCCAGGCTTTGGTGCCCAGCTGTTTTATCAAATACCTCTAGATGGTGCTGTGAAGTTATTTTTTTAGGGGTGATTCACATTTAAATCAGTAGACTTTGAGCAAAGCAGACTGCCCTGCATAATGTGGGTGGGCCTCATCCAATCAGTTGAAGGCCTTAAGAGAAAAGCCTGAAATGCCCTAAGGAGGACAGAATTCTGTCTCCAGACTGCCTGCATCAACTCCTGTGGGAATTCCCAGCCTCCCAGACCACCCTGCAGGCTTCGGACTTGCCTGTGTCCACAACTGCATGAGCCAATTCCTTAAATCCCCCTCCCCCTTTTCCCCGTACACACACACACACACAGACATTCTGTTGGTTCTGTTTCACTGGAGAACCCTAATACAGGGGTTATCTTGGACCACCTCCTCTCCCTCACTTCCCAACATTCACTCAGTCACCAGAGCCGACTGATGCTGTATACGACATGTCTCCTGCGCCTACCCTTTCTCTGTCTCCACCTCCCCTGTCTTGGTTTAGGCTCTTAGCATCTCTCGCCTGTGCTATTACAAAAGTCCATTAACCAGTCTCTCTCCCTCATCTTCTCCCAATTCACCTGCCACTTCACCACCAGGGTTATCTTTCTAAGATAAGAATCAGATCACGTCACTTACTTCCAAAGCTTCCCCATCACCTACAGGATGCAACTCAAACTCCTCAGTGTAACATGAAATCTCTTGATCAACTAGCTTGATTCCCAGCTCCATCTCTCCTACTCCTCAATAAATACCCCAAATTCTAGCTATATTTAACTACCTGTGGATCCCCAAACATGTCATGATACCTTCACACCTTCATGCTTCTGTATATTTTGTTCCATTTTCTTGGAATGTCTACCAATCTGTTTTGAAAACATTCTGACCTCCTCTTCACATCCTAGCTCAGAGCTACTCTTTGTTCTGAAGCTGTCCCTGGATGCTTGGGCATAATTTTTAGACAGTGATAAAGATCTTTTCATAAATCTTGTTTTATTATATTGGCATTAATGTATGTGTCTGTATTTCTCAAAAGACAAGGGTCTCTTTGATGGCAGGGACTGTGTCTTATTCATAATTAGATCCCTAGTCCTAGTCTTTTGTTTAGCTCATAATAACCACTCAAAACATGTTAAGTCCCTGTTTATGTGTTCGATTTTAAGCCCTTTGAAGGCAGAAACCATGTTGTTGTTTATCTTTGTATCACTCGTGGTACCTCTCATAGGATCTTGTATATAGTTGATGTTCAATATAAGAAGATAGAATTACATAGATAAGCTACAGTTCTCTAGAGAAAGCAGAAATATTTCATTTCCTGTTGCTATGATTCCCATGCTCTGTTGTCACAGTGATTTTAAGTCAAGCAAGAGTTCTTGGAAAAGAGAAATTATCAAAGGTCATAGTCTCAGGCAAAAGGAACTAGAAGAGATCTGTGTTTAAAAAAAAAATATATATATATATATATATATAAACGTTCTCTATTTCCTATTCTCTCATACAGTCTTCTAAAAAACATCTGTTTGAAAATGTTCAAGCCCACAGGAAAGTTGAAAGAACAGACCAATGAACACCCAGATACCCCTCACATAGATTCACCAGCATCTTGCTGCACCCATTTCCTCTATCTCTCTATTTATATCTCTCTCTATATATATATACACACACTTCCTTTTTGCTGAAAGCAGATGGCTGCTCTTCTGGCATTTCACACCTAAATGGTGCATATTGCATCACTCAGAAGGAGGATATTTTCTCACACCACCATATCATTATCATGCCTAAGAAAAGCAGTATTGATTCAACAAGATCACCTACTATGCAGTCTGGACTCAAATTACCCTAATTTTCCCTCCAAATGTCCTTGATAACTATTTTTTTGGACCCAGAATTCAATCAATTTTCACACGTTGACTTGGCTGTTATATTTCTTTATTCTCCTCAATCTCTTCCTCTGTTTTTTTTGTTGTTAAATTTATTTATTTTATTTTTGGCTGCGTTGGGTCTTCATCGCTGTGCGTGGGCTTTTTCTACTTGTGGCGAGCGGGGGCTACTCTTCGTTGCAGTGTGTGGGCTTCTCATTGAGGTGGCTTCTCTTGTTGCGGAGCATGGGCTCTAGGCTCACGGGCTTCAGTAGTTGTGGCTCGCGGGCTCAGTAGTTGTGGCTCGTGAGCTCTAGAGTGCAGGCTCAGTAGTTGTGGCGCACGGGCTTAGTTGCTCTGCGGCATGTGGGATCTTCCTGGAGCAGGGCTCGAACCTGTGTCCCCTGCATTGGCAGACGGATTCTTAACCATTGCACCACCAGGGAAGTCCCTATTCTTTTTGATCCTTAAAGTTTCCCAGATTTGGTCAGTGGAATCCCTTTCAAGCTGGCTTCTGTGTCCTTTTGATATGAACTATTAAATTGTCTTTGAACTTATCTTTGCTTTCCAGCATGCAACACCTTCCTGACTCAGACCTACTATCAGCCAATTCTCTAAGGAGCCTTGGTTCTTTTTGGTAGAAAATAGTTAGAAACCAACACCTGCTCCCTAAGTGAGCTTATTGCCATGGGGTATTATTGATTCAGGCTCTTCATAGTTACTGATAGCTCCAATTAAAATCCTACACCACAACCCTTGATGATCTGTACTTGGGGCTCTTCTGCAAAGGATGGGCTTCTCACCTGAGGTTGCAGCAAAAGGACACCGAAGGAGAGATTCCCTTGCCAGTCAGCTAGTTGTAGCCCAGGGTGGCTGCCTGCCAGGCTTCTCAGAGCGGGCAAACTTTTGTACAGAGAGGGGAGGATCTCTCACAAGGGAGGGCAATGAACATTACCCAATGAGCATTATCAAAACATCCACGTGGGACCCAATACTTACCTACCTGGGGATTTTTTAACATAAAATCAGCTTTTGAAGATTTTCTACTTAGGAATAAATTAAGGACAAAGCTGCTTTTGTAGTTTTCTCGAAGCAAATGACATCTTTCCAACTAAAAGCTAGTTGACCAATTACCCCTGGGGAAAGGTCCCCCTTATTTCCTCTGAACAGAGTTCTCAGTGGAATGTTGTGGGTAAGCCACCCCTGTGGGGGAGACTACTTTCTGATTCAGCACACTGCAGAGGATTCTGTGAATTTCTATTAGTACACAAACTTTGGAATCTGTTGCCACTGCAATTTTCTTTTTTTTTTTTTTTGCAGTGCGCGGGCCTCTCACTGTTGTGGCCTCTCCCGTTGCGGAGCACAGGCTCCGGACGCGCAGGCTCAGCGGCCATGGCTCACTGGCCCAGCCGCTCCGTGGCATGTGGGATCCTCCCGGACCGGGGCACGAACCTGTGTCCCCTGCATCGGCAGGCGGACTCTCAACCACTGCGCCACCAGGGAAGCCCGCCACTGCAATTTTTGCACGTGGTACATCTTCCTGTGAGATACTGGGTGATGATTACAAAATGGCTGGACATAGTATCCAGATTCCCACAGAGATATCCCCACCCCGGGTCTCGACTAGAGTTATCTCAAGTCATTTCCACAACAGTCTTGAGACTCAGGTATTATTCCTGTTTTAAAAGATGAGGAAACCAAGACTCGGAGAGTCTGTGTTAGAACACAAAGCCAGAGAGCTACTATATTTAACTGATGCTAAAGTGTCGTAGATTTTAAGGCATATTTCATTTCCAGGTATGTTAAAATGTGGGGGGGAAAAGGTGTGTTTTAGGATCAATAAAACATAATGGTTAGTGCCTGGACACTAGGATCTACAATCAAATTCAGATCTTCATGAATTTGAAACCCATGCTCCTTGCACTTGAGGAAGGATTTCCGGACAAGGGTCGGGCTGAGTTGCAGAGAGAGAAGCTAGGGCTGGAGAAGACGGGAAAACGTTTAACCGTGTCAGCAAAGCCATGAATGTGAGGGCTTGCTTGGAGCGTGGACTCGGTGAAGAGTTCATCTGATTGGTGGAGAGTTCATCTGACGATAGTCAAGTGTCCAGATTAGCGAGCAGCTAATCTGCCTAAAAAGAAATACGACTTTTAGAGATGACCCAGGACTTTAGAAGGTGGCTTGTGATTTTGATTTAGCGGTTCTAGGTGACCGGACATCGTTGGAAGCATTTGGGTGGGTGTCCCATGTTGAGAGCTGTGTTTTAGAGGAGACGTGTACGGTGTGGATCGGAAGAGACGGAAGCACGGGGCTACTGCAATTTAGACAGGCAGCAAGTGACGAAGCTTGGACAGGGAAGGTGGCTCTATTTTGAGAAGAAGCGTTCTCAGCGGCTAGTGACAGATGAGAGATGGATGGGGAACCTGTATAATTTATCATCCAAACCCGACACCTTTGAGAAAGAAAACGAAGTGCTATTAATAACCACGCCGGGGCCTTCCCTGGTGGCGCAGAGGTTAAGAATCCGCCTGCCAGTGCAGGGGACACGGGTTCGAGCCCTGGTCCGGGAAGATCCCACATGCCGCAAAGCACGGCGAGCCACAACTACTGAAGCCCACGTGCCTAGAGCCCGTGCTCCGCAACAAGAGAAGCCACCGCAACGAGAAGCCTGCGCACTGCAATGAAGAGTAGCCCCCGCTCATCGCAACTAGAGAAAGCCCGCGCGCAGCAACGAAGACCCAACGCAGCCCAAAATAAATAAATAAACTTATTTTTAAAAAATAACCATGCCAGACAATAGGCATAAGCCAGGACTGTCGTGGGCGACCCTGACGTATGGTCGCTCCACACAGAGAAAGGAGTGACCAGAATCAAAACTCACTCCGGTATTTCTTGCCCTGGGGACTGTGGGTTACTGTGGTTTCCCGAGCAGTTGTTAAAGCTCCTTCTTGTGCCAGGGTGGTGGCTGTCTTTGTGATCCCCCCCCTGTCTTCCCCAACAGGGCTTGTGAGGAATCAGACAGCCCCACACGGGATGGGTTAAGAAACAAGCTTAACTCATAAGGAACAGGGACCCACTGGGGTAGACGTTCCCGAAGGAGTCTCTTCCCTCCAACTCTGTCACCTCCCTTCCTTATAGGGCAAGAGCAAGAACTACCTCATCAGTGGGAGAAAAAACGGTCTATAGGTGCACTGGATGCCAGCGGTTGGCAGAGTTTGGGAAATCCAGCGGCCCAGCACCTGGGGAGCTTGAGGCCACTGAGCCTGTGGGACCCTGAGTTCATAGGCATCTTCTCCCTGGAGAAAGGAGAAAGGCCTTCGGTCCCAGCCAGGCCCTTGTCCCTGCAACCCAGAGGAAGCTCCCAAGGCTGTTCTGGGGGGCCTGATTTAGGGCAGAGGCGGGACAAGAGAGTGCAGTGGGGTAGACAGAAACCATCAATTTACAATAAATTGGCCTCCAAGCAAATGTACCATACTGTGAACTGTATCAAATATAATCTCCAAACTCCTCTGATGGCTCAGGAGTCCTGTAGAGCTTAAGTGTGCCCATGAACAGCCCTGGCTGTGCCCGTTTATGCACGGGTCTAAGAGGATGCATGTGACACAGCCTGACTGCATGATCTCAACAGGGCCCGGGCCACTATCCCAGCCTAAAAAGTCACCAGGTTTTGTGCCTGATTTCTAATGAACTAAAATTAGTCACAGGTGACAAGCCAAATACAGGCTCTGAAGGGATGTCTGTGGGATGTAACGCAGCGATTCCAGTACATTCCACGAGTCTAATTTTAGCTTAGAGAATACCCCTGAGACGGAAGGCCTGATTTGGAGACCTGCATTTAGAGACGAGCACATCGCGGTTTTGCTTTGATGATGGACATCAAGCTGGGGCCTCAGGGGACTGGAATTTTGAGTCTATCACTTCTCTCGATAAAAACAAAGACACGACGATAAAGAAGAAAATCCAGCAATTTCAGGAATCCTCCACCGCTCACAGAATTGTGTCTGAACTTGGCTACTGATACTCAAAACTCCCTCTGTCTGTTTGTCCGGAAGTCTCATCACATCCTCTGAGCCCCACAGTCCATCTGATCTGGCGTCTGAACTCACCCGGCCGGCCTGCCCTCTGGCAAGTTTTTGTACAGGCCACTCCCTCCACCTGGATCCTGTCCAGGATCCCCTGTGCCCACCTGCCTAACCGGCCTTTCCGAAGACGTCCCAAACTTGTTCCTCATCTTCCCCCCTCTCGTAGCGAGGGACAAGGAAAGAGTCTCTTCCAGTGTCTCTGCCGGGCTCTATGGAATCCATTGCCCCAGATACTTTCCTGAAACACAGACCAGGCCACTTTACTCTCCTGCTGAAGGCCCACCTAAGGCCCCAAAGCTCACACCCCTTAGCAGCCCATTGGGGGAGACAGTTGACTTCCGCACCAGCCCGCCAGAATCCTAAGAGTTTATACAGAGGCCTTAACGGGGTTCAGTTACATTGACCGTCCAAACGGTCTCAACACCACACTGCTCTCTCATGGCTGCATCCTTGGGACAGCTCCGGCTGTGGGAACGGTGGGCAGAACATATCTTCCGAGGACGGGGGAGGGAGTGAGGCGCCTCCAATTGCCTGGGTCCAGCTTGAGGCTCAGTTGGTGGTCACATCCTCTCGGTGACCTCCTCCAACAGGACCGGAACGGTGGACCAGTCTGCTGAGTTGAGTGTAACCGCTAGGCAGGTAGGAAGGGCTTGGAAGTCAATGTTCTGAAATCATCCGTGCTGATCACGTGTGTGTGTGTGTGTGTGTGTTGATGTGTGTGCCTGTGGGCAGATAAATGGTACCTTTTCGGGACATACTCTTGTAGCGTGACCTCAGGTTCCTTAAATTAACCTTCCTGAAGACTTGACAAAGCTCTTTTGTATATTATTAGGGAATAATACGTAAAACTGAGTACCCCAACTGGGTGTGGTTGGCCACCATCTTGCGGTTCATTTCTGGTTAGCACCTCCCTTACAGAATGCTTATCAAACACAGATTATTCTGGGTTGGATATTCCAATTCTAATAAGCACAACAGTCAACCCAAAACAGAAATAGCTAATTCCTTTTGTGAGCTGGGCCTTGGAAACCAGGCACACTCTTCCTTTCCAGCCCCTCTGTTGTTGCGTGATGTTCCTATTTCTCTCTGCTTAGACTATTAGGTTCTCCTGACTCAGTGGCAAAAAAATTAGGGAAAGTTAGGAATACAGACTAGAGGATATGGTAAGAATAGGAGGGTAGAATTGCTTTAACAAAATTATCAGCACACAAAAATCTATCTGCAGGACTAATATAATACAACATCGATGCACGGCTCCTTCATTTAAGGACCTCCTGTAGGAGTCTAATATGAAACATTTTAGGGAAAAAAAGAAACCAATATTGGGGCATTTCCCTCTCATTCAAGGCTTAGCTTGGTGTTGCCAATGTGACCTCCTAGAGTGGGAATTAATTATTCATTGTTTTTCTCTCCTATTACAAGCTTTCTAGCTACTTTTGGAAGAGAAAAGCGAGTGGCCTCTTTTAAGAGTTCCTGTGTATATTTGGGTTTTCTTTGCCTGAGCTGTTATTTTCTGAACTGTCGCTTAGATTCAATGGCTACAACTATTTTTCTCTCTCTCTCTCTCCTTTTTTTTTCCCCTCTGACACATACCCATTTTCCTTGTTTCCCTCGGATCTATATTTTCAAGTCGTCTAGCTCCTTAGTGTTAATCACTCTGTCCCCAGGACACAGAGATGCAAAATTCAGAAGAGACTCTTAAACGGTAAGGTTACCCACAGGGGTTTTAAACGTGACATGTTGTTGAAACGAGGGGACAAGGTTTATTTTAAGCATCATTAGCATTATTTTTATGTAGTCTTAGTACTGAATACATTATTCACACATCACAAAGATAAGTAGACAAAGAAAAAACACACAGTAGCACCCATTTATATGTCTAGGCCAGTGTCTACTCCTGTGACATTATCTGCTGGTAGATTAGAGGTCAGAGGTGAAAAAGACAGATTAGAGCAATCAGTCCAGTTTTTTTGTGCAAAACAGTGTTGGGTAACATTGTACTTTAAGAGAGAAGGAAAAGATTTCACAGAGCGGTGAGTAGGGAACTTTATCATTAAATGGAGAGAAGTGCTGCAAACCACATGTAGCAACTGAAGTTGAGCTTTTATGTGTCTTGGTTGTCAACAGCTTTCACTATCTCAACCTATCCTGACAACAATAATTAGAATTCCGGGGAGAAGGAGGAATGTGTCGGATATTGCAGACATGTTTCTGAAATCATATCATGCTGTTTTGGACAATGGGGATATCGGGTTCCTCACCTCCTCTGCCCTGCAATTCTTCCCTCCAGCTGTGGAGTCTAGGGACGAATCTCCGAATATTCGCAACCCCTGGGCTGTATCCAGTGCTAAGCAAAGGCCAGGTGACACAATAAAGCATCCTTTATCTTTCAAAAGGTCCTGCACTAGGACCAAGAGAGGGGGCAATACCCGGGGAAAGATGGTCTTTCTTTTGTGGAAAAAAAAATACCGGGATTGTTTCCACATTGAAGTTTCATGCCTCCCTGGCCACTCTCTACCGGGTTGTCGCGATTCTTTTCAAAGACAAGTCAGAAACGTGAGACTCTGCGTTGCCGTCAGGTCAAAAACCAAACTTCCTTCCACTAGTGGATCAGTCGAGGCCTTGGTGACCTCCTGCAAATATACATAAGGAACCGTACGTCCACCTGCAAGTCCATAACTTCACTCGTGTTGATTTCCCGAAAGAAATGACTGCCTCCCCTTCCCAACCTCCACTTTACTTCCTTACCATTCAGGGCAGATGCCGTCTATTCCAAAAAGCCCCTTGAAACCTGACTCCTCCACCCTGTCCCTAATTTTGGATGCACGGCTTAAGTAAGGACTCTTAGCCCTGAGTGATTATTTCTGTCACAGCAGTTATCATGATTGTCACCGGCCTGTCCTAGGACTGTGAACTTCCTATGCGTGGAAGCCATATCCACAGAGCTGAGCAATATGTTGGGCACATAGTAGGTGCTCAGTAAACCTCTGAGTGAACTAGGAATACACCCTCTTGAGGTATATCCTACATACAGGAAAGTGCACACATCCGCAATGTACTGAATTGCTGCATATGTGTACACAGAGGTATAAACATATATAATGACCCCAGAGGAACACTATAGAACCTTCTCTAGAGGCTCCCTGGAAACCACAGGCTTTAACTGCTCTGGGAATGAGCCCCATCCATCCTGTGAAAGAAGGTTGGCTGCCAGTAGTGAACTCCAAGAGGATGTAAGATGCTCTGATTCATCACAGGTAGAATGCTCTGGATGGGGAAGGGACATTTTATTCCAGAGAAAAGTGACAGCGGGGATTAAAGAACAGAACCTTTAAAAAATGCAAATAGTGAAAAGGGAGCATAAACATTTACCTTTCTTCCCTTCCCCCCCGCACCCCGACACTCACCCGGAAGCACAAGAACCAGTGAGGCCCCGGAAGGAAGGTCTCAGGACTCTGTCACGCCCTCACAGCGCCTTACCCGTCCTGATACCTGTGGTGACCAGAGGGACTCTGAACGACCGAAATCAAGGCTGCCCAGACCTGTGTGACACACGCAAGGGGTCCTGCTTCTAAGCTCCCCGCTCACCTGTGCCTCGCACGGACCAGCGTGCGTTCTTGAGCCAGATGACGCTGCCCGCAAAGTCGGAGAGGAAGCCCCCAGACCCCTTCCCCATCACTGCGGCCGCTCGTGAACTGACCCAAAATGTTTTCGTTTTTGTTTTCCTTCCTTTCTCAATCCAACCTTTATATCATCACGTTATTCGCAGAGTACTGAAGACCTATGCTATGGGTGTGCAATCTGTCCCAGCAAGGGCACTGGGCCTGCGACGGGGGCGGGGGGCGTCGGGTCGCTGGCGGCGGAAATGCGCTGCCACGGGGAGGGGTGCCCGTCACGCCCGGTAAGGCTGCGGGCTGGGCGATCGGTGGCTTGAGAAAGTGAGGATTCCAGTTGATTCCGCCCGTGGCCCTGACTCCCTTTTAGATAAATGGCCGGGCGGCGGTGCTCTACTGCGCCGTCCCCCGCAGCTGGAAGGGAAAAGGCGGTCACGCTCCCTCGGTCCCGGGCGGGGTCCCCGCTACCCCCGGGACGCCACCCCGCTCGCACGCCGGGGCGGCTGGGGGAGGCCGCCCGGCCCCGCCCAGCCCCGCGCGAACTGGGCCGCACCCACTTCCCCCGGGAGGCGGCCCGCCGCGGCAGGGGCTGACGTCACAAGGCACCCAGCCGCCGGCGCCCCGCGGTGCGCGCCCAGCGCCGGGACCCGCCGCCCTCTCGGCGCGACACCTAGGCGCGCCCGCGCGCGTGCCCGTGCCAGTCCCCGCCCGCCAGCGCCGCCGAAGATGGCGAGCCCGGCGCCCCCGGAGCCCGCCGAGCAGGGATGCCCGGGTCCCGCAGCCGCCGAGCAGCCGCCGCCGCCGCCGCCGCCGCCGCCGCCCCCGCCCCCCCGGGCTCCCCGCGAGGAGCAGGAGGGGGAAGTGCAGGAGGAAGGGGCGGCGGCGGGCGCGGGGCGGCAGGTGGAGGAGGCCGCCGGCGGGGTGGCCGCCGCGGTGACCTGGCTGCTGGGGGAGCCCGTGCTGTGGCTGGGCTGCCGCGCCGACGAGCTCCTGAGCTGGAAGAGGCCGCTGCGCAGCCTGCTCGCCTTCGTCGGGGCCAACCTGCTGTTCTGGTGAGAGCTCGGGGTGGGTGGGGACGCCGGGGAGGGCAGGTGACCTTGGGACGCTCGGGGGCGGGCGGAGGGCGCGCCCAGGGCCGGGGTGGGGGGGGGAGATGCACGCCGGACCCCGCGGAGGAAGGTGTCAGTCCTGGCCCACTTTCTCGGCCACCTTTCTCGAACAGGTAGACACACTTCAACTTTCCTCCAGACCCACCTCCCTGTAAACAGTTGTCATTCTCCGTGTGTGTATGCAGCCTCGTGGGAGAGGTGGTGGGCTGACCCCACGCACCTGGACCGACAGGTGTGCCCAGAGTGCACTTGGTCTTCGCTTTCTGAAACTCTCAGGTCTTGACCTGCTCGCCCAAAGCCTGCCAGACCACAGACACTTGAACTTGCATTCGTTCTTGCACCCAGAGCGGGCCTATCTGGACCAGCTTAGGTGCACGCTGAAGACTGAGCCTGTGTCCATCAGCCACCTGAGATGGGCACTGAATGATTTGTTTTTCCGTTCCCTGGAGGGTTGGGTTTACTGTCTTTACTCCCTGATGAGAAAACAGGCGGCAAACAGGTGGATTAGGTACATCACCGTGCCCCGCAGGTGTGCCGTGTGGAAAACAGCCGTGTTTTTAGCTGAAGAACAGAGAGAATACACAGGAATGTTGTGTGAGAAGCCCCTGATCAACAGGTTTGTCTCTTCAAAAACCACCCTTCACCCCTAAAGACGGGGGAAGTGTGTGGCTCCTTCACTGAAGGTCGTGCCCTGTTATCTGTTACCAGTCTGATGGAGGGTGGAGAAAAACCTTCTTTGTCTGCAACTGTGTCCTCATGACAAGCATGACCCACACACTGCAGAATAAGCAGAGCTTCAGCGGTGGATACTTGTTACAGGACATAGATTTCTTAAGCTTAAAGTGAGAAAATAAATGACCGAAACATACACAGCCTGCTACTTTCTAGGTTAGCTCCTTTAACCTGAAGGTTTTTCTGCAGATCTGTGCTAGTCCTGGTTTTTCTCCTGAAATGAGCTGTTTCTTTCTTTTTTTTAAAAAAATTATTTATTATTTTGGCTGTGTTGGGTCTTTGTTGCTGCACACGGGCTTTCTCCAGCTGCAGTGAGCGGGGGCTACTCTTCGATGTGGTGCAAGGGCTTCTCATTGTGGTGGCTTCTCGTGTTGTGGAGCACGGGCTTTAGGCGCGTGGGCTTCAGTAGTTGTGGTGCGTGGGCTCAGTAGTTGTGGCTCATGGGCCCTAGAGTGCAGGCTCAGTAGTTGTGGCTCACGGGCTTAGTTGCTCCGTGGCATGTGGGATCTTCCTGGACCAGGGCTCGAGCCCGTGTCCCCTGCATTGGCAGGTGGATTCTTAACCACTGTGCCACCAGGGAAGCCCGAGCTGTTTCTTATTAGACCCCCGAACGTGAATTAACTGCACTTTGGGTCTCTTAGCTATCAGTGTTTCTAGAGTTTATTCCATAGTTCTGCAACCTGTTATGAAGTTACAGTGGGCACTCAGAAGAAGGACAATATAGTGTCTGATGCTATATTGGGCAATAGTCCTATGGTCTTAGGGCTGGGTCTCCCTCATTTTACCAATGAGGTAAAATTCTCTTTCATAATTTAAAATTTTATTTATTAAAAAAAATAGCCAGTAGCCTCCAAGTTCAAAAGTTTAAAGGTACAAAAGGTTAAACACTCTGTAAATCTTTTTCCCATGCCTGTCTCTGGCTATCCACTTTCCTACCAGAAGCAACCAATGTTACAAGTTTCCTGTGTATCTTTCCAGATAGTGCATATTTCAGCAAATGCAAAATATTCTACGCAAATTGTGGAATACTATCTGGACTATTTTTCTTCTTAGTGTACTTTGGCGATCACTTCCTTGTTCTTTTCCAGCTGCACAGAATTCCACTGTATGGATGTCACGGATTAACCTGTCTCCTACTGATGGACTAAGATTGTTTCCAACTTTTGCTATGACAGCATTATAACTAATGGCCTAAACATGCATTATTTTGCATATAAGCAAGTATTGCTGTAGGATGAATTGCCAGAAGTGGAATTGTTGCGTCAGAGGGGGATGTGCACTTGTAGTTGTTTTTTTTTCTTGCGGTACGTGGGCCTCTCACTGTTGTGGCCTCTCCCGCTGCGGAGCACAGGCTCCGGACGCGCAGGCTCAGCGGCCATGGCTCACGGGCCCAGCCGCTCCGTGGCACGTGGGATCTTCCCGGACTGGGGCATGAACCTGTGTCCCCTGCATCGGCAGGCGGACTCTCAACCACTGCGCCACCAGGGAAGCCCTTGGCACTTTTCTTGATGTTACTTTTGGGGAAATGAACTTCTTAAATGCATATTTTTGATTGTTTAGTACCTGGTACCAGCACTAGCGTTTAGGATTTTGAGCCTGGGTTCAAAAGCTCTAACATTTATTACCTGCCCATTATCTGCAAGATTTTAGTGCTGTGCACTGAGAGCACAAAAGCTGAGACTTGGCCATAACAAATGGGTATAACTCAAGGCTGAATGGAGCTCTGTTTGATGACAGAGGGCACGTGGAAGGTTTTGGAGTACAGGCAGTGTTCTGTTTTTTGACTTCAGTGGTGGAAGTTACCTGGTGTTCAAGTTATAATTATTTTAAAACTATGAGTGTGTGTGTGCATTCTTATCTTTGATATATTTTTTGAAAAATACTAAATAACGCTTAAAAAAATTGGTATTCACTCAGAGCTCAGAGGAGTTTGATAAAATACAGACCGTGTAGCACCTGTCTCAAGGAGCAGGGTTTCCACAACCTGAAATAGATCGCCCAACAGTCTAATAGTCCTAGGGTTGGGTCTCTCATTTTACCAATGAGGGACATGTTTGTGAATTCTTTTTCTTAATTTAAAATTTTATTTATTAAAGAATGGTCAATACAGCCTCACAGTTCAAAAGTTTAAAAGTATAAAATGGTAAACAGTTGGAAAGGCTCTTTCTGACACCTGTCACTGGCTACCTGTCTCCTTCCAGGGGCAACCAGTGACACCAGTTTTAAGCACACCATCAAATAGAATGAACCCAGTGAAACAGAAAATACCCATCTGGTTTTGTTTTTAAAGAATTAGCTGCTTGCGGTATACTGTCAATAAAACGCACACACTCTAAGTGAACAGTCAAATGTAAACGCCCATGGAACCACAATGACAATCAAGTTCTAGAACATTCTGTCACTCCTAAAGATTACTTTGGCTTCCTTTCCCACCTGTAGGCACCCCGGGGATTGATCTGTTTTCTGTTACTATAGGTTAGATTTGTCTTTGCTGAAGTTTCATATAAATGATACGTTACAATATGATGTGTTTGTGCCTGGCTTTGCTTACCCAGCATAAGGCTTTGAGATTCATCCCTGTTGTGTATGTCAGTTGTTCGTTTCTCGTCATGGTTGACTAGGCTGCCAAGTTGGGGATATACCTCTATTTGTCCATCCATTTGCTAGTCGATGTTCTTTGGGGTCGTTTTCACGGTTGGCTATTACGAGTAAAGCTGTTGAAAAAATTCAGGCACAAATATTTGTGTGAAATGTCTGGTTTTGGTGAGAGGAGTGTGGCAAGCTCTGACCATGCTTTATATGGCCACATGGCAGTTGCCTTGGGTAGCAAGGGCTGGAGGATTATGTCTCTCTTCTTGCTGTCATTGCTGGTCACGATACTGAAACCGAATGCCACACAATGCAGCCTGGAAAGCTGCTCGGATGTGATTTAGTCTTGAACCCGCCGTTGGAGACCATGCGTGCAGAGAAATCTATGCTGGGCCTCTTTCCTCAGAGCATCTGGCACTACCTGATGACATTACCCTCCACTTGTATAAATAGTTCAACTGCAAGAAACTGATTAGCCTGAGGTGATGACACAAGGGCATGCCCTGCAGGAGACCTTTGCCGTATTTCAGGCTGGGCACCTGTGCAGTCTGGAATGCCCAGGATCCACCTAGAGTCCTTGGAGGCCTGTCCTCCAGAGTTGGTTTGGAAGGTTGCAGGGTCCAGCTCCCACTTGATGTCAAGAGCCCCTCTATGCCATCGCTGATGGGTTGGGCCAGCTTGCATTAGAGCAGTGTCCCTCAAAGAGCGATCTCTTACTGGCATCATCGTGGCCGTCACCTGGGTGCTTGTAGAGATGCAAATCGTGGGCTGCACCCCACATATACGAGCCAGAACCCCTGCGGTGGGGCCAGAGCATCTGAATTTTCTCCAGCTCACCAGGTGACTTGAGTGTGAGAATCACTGCATTTGAGCACTTTCTGGGATCCTGAACTCTCTTCTCCATAAGGCAGCATTTCCACTGCTGGACAACTCTGACTAGCAAATATTTTTCCTATACTGAGTTAAGCTCACCTCTTTGTTATCTCTACAGCTGCCCAAGGTCCGGGCTCCCTCCCCAGGACAGTCCTCTGTCTGTTTCAGGATTTGTTCTGTTCTCCATTTCTGCTGAGTCTTCTTTCCCCCAGAAGAGAAATCCTGGGCTCCTTCCACTGACCAGGCTCTTCTAAACACGCTTCAGTTTGTATGTATTCCTCCTCAAATGCAGCATTCTGAGATGATACGACCAGTGTGTGCTTTTCCCCATCTTCCTGGACAGCATCCTTCTCTTCACATGGCCTGAGACGGAATTTCTTTATTCTACTTGATAGTAACTCCTCTGACAGCTACTACTATTAATGATTGCTGCTGCCGTCAAACTATACCTGCGTATATAACTATATACGCAGGTGTAGTTCGTCAGGCTACAACTAGTAAAATTATTAAGGATGCTCACGTTTAGCACCTCATTTAAATCTTACAGCAACCAGTGAGGCAGGTATTATTCCCCTTTTACACAAGAGGAAACAGGCCCACAGAAGTTAACTGAGTTGTTAACGATGACTTTAACCTGTACTATTCAATAGAATATTTGCAGTGATGGAAATAGTTGACGTTTGTACTGTCTGGTATGGTAGCAAGTAGCCTATTGTGGTTATTGAACTTATGACATGTGGCTAGTGTGA